TCTTGTAGACCAGGCTGGCCTCGAACTCACAGAGATCCACCAGTCTCTGCCTCCCAAGTGCTGGGATTAAAGGCGTGCGCCACCACCGCCCGGCCAAGGCATGGCCATGTTTTGTGGAGGATTGTGGAAGGACTTTGGAACTTTAGGCTGGGAAAGTCATTGAGTGTTCAGAGCTTAACGAACTGTTGTGGGATAAAACGACAAACCTGAGGGTAGTGCAGAAGATAGAGGCTTGCTTGTCAAGTTTCAGAGTCTGTTAAGGACTCTATCAGGGCCATTTGCTATTTTGAATTAAGAACTATAGTTGGTGGTGGTGTACGCCTTTAATCCCAGCACTTGGGAGATAGATGCAGGTGGAGCTCTGAGTTGGAAGCCAGTCTGGTCTACAGTGTGAGTTCCAGGACAGCCAGGGCTACGCAGAGAAACCCTGTCTTGAGGAAAAAAGGAAAAGAAAAAAAAAAAAAAAAAAGAAAAAAAAACCCAAAACAAAGAAAGAACTGCTGAAGAGAATGGGGCTTTGCTGGGGCTCTGCTGGGCAATACCTACTGGCCAGATGAAGAGAATGGGGCTTTGCTGGGGCTCTGCTGGGCGATCCCTACTGGCCAGATGAAGTACATGGGACCTTTGCTGTGGCTTTGCTGAGCGATCCCTACTGGCCAGATGCGGCTGAAGGATCAGCTGTGAATAAGAGATAAAATCTTCAGGGAGGAGCTGGAGGTTGCATCTCATACTGGCAGCTGAACTTGGTAGCATAGGAATCACCTGTGTGGTATTGTTTCTGAAGGCAGGCTGGGGCTCTGGAGAGTGCTAAGGCCTGGAACTCTGGGGAAGGGCTGGAGTTCCTGGAGAGAGGCCCCAGATGAAGGTGCAGTCTCAGATGCATTTGAAGCCCCAGGATTGAAGGGGTCGAGGAGAGAAGTGAGGCTAGCACCATGTAGCAGTAGCAAGGTTAGAGTGAAGCGAGTCCAGGAGAAGTCATTGGAGAAGGGACCAAGACACCAGGCAGTGCTCCTCCAGGCTCTGCTTCCTTTCCTGCCTCCAGCTTCCGGTCCTGACTACCTTCAGTGACTGAGTGTGACCTGATAGCTACAAGCTGAGATAAACCCTTTCCTCCCCAAGCTGCTTGTGGCCACAGCAGTAAACAAGACAAGGCACATCATACTATTTCTATAATGGAGTCTACAATGACTGATTTAGCAAAGCCACAGGGCACACAATTTCCTCCAAACTTAAGAAGGGAAACATGCCTATGGGCTACTTCTCATATCTCCAGTATTCAGACAAAACGGGAGATAATAGTGTAACAGATCTACTTTGATACAACCAACAGTATCAGTTTTCCAGGCACTACAACTGTGAGACTCGAAAAAGCTGCGGGGCTAAGTGTTTAGAGAGTACCTAACATATAGTTGCATAGAAAATGTCAGTTTCCTTTAATCCAACATATCCAGTGTCTCCCAGACCCATGCCAAGCTCACCTGATCTAGAGAGTGTCCATCTTTCCACCTCAGGTTGTGTTGGGTCTCTAAGGAGGTAAACAGAAGGCCATTCCTTGACTCGGAGGCACTTGATTGCAGTGGCAACACAGATGAAAAACTGAACAGGGACCCAAGGCATGATGGGATATGTTATAGAAAGTGTGTATGTTTGCAGATTACAGCAGCTCATTTGAGATTACTTTGTTCTAAAGGACTGGTGAGCTCTGTTTTTGGGGTTGATGGTTGTCAAGATGTAAGTGTTCTATGATCAGAGCTATGGAGAGCCATATCTATTCCTACCTATGCTCAGTCTTTTAGTCAGTTTCTTCCTCCTAAGCAGACAGTTGAGTGTAGATGGAGGTTTCTGTCTTGCCTGGTGCCATTGCCATTCAGTCCCAACAAAACACAGAGACTTATATTAACTATAAACTGGTTGGCCTATTAGCTCAGGATTATTATTAACTAGCTCTTACAACTTAAATTAACACACAATTCTTATCTATGTTTAGCCACTTGGCTTGGTACCTTACTCAGTGAGGCATTCTCATCTTGTTTTCTCTCCGTCTGGCTGGTGACTGCAGACTGAATCATCTCTCTGACTCTTTACTTCTCCCAGCATTCAGTTCTGTTCTCCCCGCCTACCTAAGTTCTGCCCTATCAACAGGCCAAGGCAGCTTCTTTATTCATTAACCAAGAAAAGCAACACACAGAGGGGACTTTTCCTCTTCCCAGAATTCTCCTAGTCTGGTCACCCCATCTATACTTCTTGCCTGGCTATTGGCCAATCAGCATTTTATTAAACCAAAACAAGGGACAAATCTTTACAGGGTACAAGAGCATTATCCCATAGCAGTTTAGCTTTGAGCTCAGAAGCCAAACTGTTTGGGCTTGAATCTTGGCATTGCTGCTACTATCAGTGTGGCAATTTGTTCATCTTTTCAATTTGTTCAGTGTGCTTTCAGTTGTTCATCTTTAAAATGATCTTAATAATAGTACTCTGCTTCATAGGTTGTTGTGAGGGTTAAATAACCCAATTTATGTAGAACTAGAACAACTGGAGTTATAATTGCTGTTATTATTAGTCTCTAAAAGAATGCAAAGTAATAAATCTAGTCTCATAGTCATTTTATTTGCTTATTTTTAAACCTTCTCCCTCAGATTGTGATCAAGCTATACATAAAAAAAAAAAAAATAAGGCCAGGTACCTGGGAGGCAGAGACAGGCAGTTCTCTTAGGAGTTTGAGGTCAACCTAGGCTACAGAGTGAGTCCCAGGCCAGCCAAAGCTACCAGTGAGTCTCCCTCCCTCCCCCCTCTCACACACACATACAAAATAAATAAATAATACAATCCCAAGAATGAATGTTGCCAGCCCCCTTCTGGAAACAATGGTTTATCACCCAAGTATGGACCTAATAAACACGTTAGCTGCCTCACCACCATTGGAAAGCTCTGAAGGTCTCAAGTTAGGCTTGAGATTAGTGAAAACCTGCTCTGTACCAGGAAATTGGAGAAGAGTAAAACCTGATAAGGCAACAATGCCTGGTGGATGGAGTAACTGATCCTTTAAGTCAGTCAAAGTTAATGCGTGCCGAGAAAGATGAGGGTCTAGAAGCCAAACACGATTTCCCATCTATTTTAAGATTCATGCCAAGCTTCTTTAGACAGAAATCAAGCCTTTTAAGGAAGGTGAGGCGAACACACCTCGTGGGCTGTGTTAAGGGGATGCTCAGCAGGTGCTGAGTCTCACTCTGAGGGTGGCTACGGGATTGTGTGAACTCAAGTGGCAATACTGGCTCTCTCAAGAAGGAAAGATGCTATCTCCCGCCAGGGAGCTAGATGACTATGGCACCACATGAAACAAGAAACCACAACAGCCACCCTCAGCCCAGCCTAGCCCAATATATTCAGATTGGACAAGAGCCATCTTTTTCTTTCCTGGGGGCACCCTTCTAGATCTTCCTCAAGTGCCTGAAGCAGAAATGAATTGCAAGTCAAGAGGGCGGTTGCATCATTAAGAAGTGGGGCGAGCAGGTGGAGGAGAAAAATTTATACTCAAAGAAGAGAAAACCCATGTATTTCTTGGGGGAGGGGTCAGGAGAGTTAGGGATTTGGCTCGCCAATGAAGCAATCTAGGAACGGAGAAGGTCTCAGTTCCTTTCCAAATCTTTAGCATTTGACAGATGCCAATCACACAGCCCTGTACCCAGGCGGTACCAAGTAAACCCTACATCTTTTAGTGAAAGAGTCTCGAAGAGAAAGCAGTAGGTGTGTCTAAAGTTCCCGCATGAATGTGTCTGGTGAGGACCAAGCAGGTCTGGGTCCACTGAAAGCCATGGATTGGGGGTGCAACCTTAGGTTGGACCGTGTTCTGGTCCCTAGATCCTCCCCCCTCCACCCCCCGCTCCAGCATTGGGCCTCTGGCAGTTCCTTTTCCGACTCGCGGGTTTCCCAGGAGTTCTCGTCGTAGTCGGGGGAGGGAAGACTCCAGCTTTGCTTCCTTCAGCACTGGGGTTCCGTTTGGCTCCCTGCTGGCACCATGTTTCCCCCACCCCCTGCCTTCAGTACCTCTGCTTCCGTGACGTCGAGAAACTCCCAAGTACAACTGGGGACGAGGCAGTTAAGCCGCGTCCTTCAGGTGTCAATCCGGACCCATGCGAACCACAATTCCCAGAGTGCCTCGGTCAACGAGGCCAAGTCAGATAAAATAACTCCAGAGAGTGGGACACGCAGGTGGGAAACTAGTCTCTGGTGTCTTTACCGAATATGTTTAAATACTCGAAACCTCACTTCTGCACCACTCCACTACCATCTTCAGGCCTCGGAGACCGCGTCCGAAGGTGCGCCCCCTCCCGGGGTATTTTGGGAATTGTAGTCCAGATGCCAGGTTTCACCGAACTACCTTTCCCAGGGTGCGCAGCGGCCGGGCAATAGCAACGTTCTCTTCCAAGTGTCTCTGTCCCGAGATCCCCTCCTCTGGTCCTTTCTTGACATCGACTTCTTTCGGTCTGTGGCTATAGCTGGTTTCCCAGAGGCGGCCCTGAGCTGTGGTAGCGCTGCCCTGAGAGGCACTTCCGGTGGCAGGTCACTTCCGGGTGTGTGGTCGGAGCCGACGGGCGCGCGCGCGGGGGAGGGGCGGCACCAGCACGGCGCTCGGGGATCAGCTGGCGGGCGGGCGCCTAAGCGGCCCCGGCTCTGCGGCAGCGCCGCCTCCTCCGCGTCGCAGGCCGGCGGCCGTGGCCATGTCGCGGGGCTGGTAGCTGGGCTCGGCGCTGAGCCGCCTCTAGTGGGTGTTTGGGGTCCGGGGCTCGGGGTCCGGGGCGGGGGTCCGGGCTGGGGGCCGGTGCGTTTCCAGGGCTTTCCCGAAGAAAATGCACGTAGCGTTTCCTCTGGATGACGGCCTTTGCTTCCCCTAGGACCCGGCAGTTGGGCTCTGGAGTGTGTTACTGATTCATCCTCTCTGCCTCTGTCATCGCAGGTTTAAACTTAAACGATCGCTCTCCGAGGAGGAGGGGATCCGTCGCGCGATTGACAGTGTATTCCTGCAGGCGCCGTCCCTCAGCCCCCACCCCACGGCCGGATTCCCGTGGCTCTGCTCCGGGCTGAAACCCGAGAAGAAATCCTTCGATTTCTTTTCTTTACAACAAATACTAACCGAGAAACCATCGGCATTTTGCCTTGGCGTTTCCTATCGGAAAGATGAAGAAGTTTTTCGACTCCAGGCGGGAGCAGGGCAGCTCTGGCCTGGGCTCAGGCTCCAGCGGAGGAGGGGGCAGCAGCTCAGGCCTGGGCAGTGGCTACATCGGAAGGGTCTTTGGCATCGGGCGGCAGCAGGTCACTGTGGACGAAGTGCTGGCGGAAGGTACGTTAGAAACCAGTGCGCGGTGAATTAAATTCATGTGCTGATGTGGCAAGACTCTGGTTTCTAGTTGTATGAATGGGTTTTGACCAACTGACCCTCCCTTCCCCCTGCACTTTCCCTGCGAGTCATTGTCCTTGAGAGATTTCAAACTCAGACTGAGAATTGACAGGGTTTGGGGGCAGTATTGCCCAAATTGTTTACCTCAGTGGCCTTTTATTTTAGTTGGGGGGGGGGAGGAGCGCGGAGAAACCTCCTCCTTTGACTGAATTATGCGGATCAGATGAGAAAACGTATGTGTGAAGTGTAAGTGACATCAAATGCCTGGTGGTGGGCTCTTGCCATTTCCCTGAAACTTTAAATTCTGATGTGGAGGCCGAAGGGTGGGGATGGGGTGATTAAAAAGAGAGAGGGGTTTCTTCTACCCAACTTTCCCATTTCTCTGAGTAAGTATCCAAAGAGAATTTTTCTGGTGATGGAAATGCATTTTTTGGTTCTTTGACTAGACATGTTTCATCACCCACCTGAAATCAGGTCCCCAGGATGTAGCTAAGATAAAAATCATAAGAAGTGAATGAGATTGTTTTGAACTCAGTTGCCTAGGCCTCTTTTCTCCTGTTTTAGTTTCTATTTAAGAACTACTTAAGGGTGGCTGTGGTTTAGTTTTGCTGTTCAGATCCTTGTGTCGATTCTCTTGGTGTGTGTTCATTTGTGTATCTGTCCTCATGCCCCAGGCTTTAGGGAAATCTTTTGAGTGTTCCTCTGCTAACCTTAACCTCGACCTTCATAATTACGCCAGACTGATACTTTTCACAGCTCATTGCCTACTTAGAGTGCTTTTATTTTTAATAAAAGCAGCGATTTCCTTGGCATGAAGCAATTCAAACTAATTGGATAGGGCCAGCCTACTGTAGGTTGTGTTACTGACTGCCAGAGGTTGGGTGTGGGGGAGGCCTCAGTGAAGGCAACATGGTGGTAGGGTATAGTTTATTAGCTGGGGAAGTGGATGAAAGCTAAGAGGTCCCTTTGCAAAGGAGGCTTTTGCAAGCTGAGCCTGAAGCAAGGATCCCTACCTGGGCCTAGGAAATGCCTGTCATGATGAGTGTTGTGGGGTGGTGGACGGGTGGCTGGGGAGGGAGAAGCTGTGTTTGACTCAGTTTGTTTAAGCACTGGATTTGGTGAGGCCCAGTTTCTGAGAATAGGATTGAAGCCCGTACTTAAAGAGCCCAATTTTAAAGAGATATCTGGTAATGAATTTCCTTTTGAAATGACTGCTTTTTTTCATTCTTAGTACTGCTTCAACTGGACTTAATCTGGGCCTGAGTCACCATCCTTTCTGGACCCTTCTTTGAGGACTCTGGTGCAGGCTGGGAGATGCTTCTGTGTCTACTGCCAGATCTGTACCTTGGAATATGAGCTGACTCTTTTACCCGTAGCCAAAGTCCTTGACTGCAGTGGGTGGAGTGTGTGAGAGAGCAGGAGGATGAGGGCCACAGAGCTCTTCCCTCCTCTCTGCTGGCCTCAGCACCCAGGAGCATTTTTTTCCAGCTAGGGTGTTGTCTCATCATGTGTTGCCCTAAGCATTGCCTATTCTCTGAGTCTTGGAAGAGTGATGGGAAAGAGAAAACACAAAATTGGTCTTTGTTTTCTAGGCTGCCTGGAATTCATCCTGAGAACTGTGCATTGTGCATTATGATATTTTAAAAAGTAGAACTTAGGGCTTGCAACTGTGCATTCATTCATTTATTTGTTCAGCCAACAGTTACCAAAGTGCCGAAGATGTGGCAGGTTGTGTCTGGGACTCTGGGGACGTGATGCTAAACTAGATGCCAGAGTTTCAGAGATGTTTTAAGAAATGGAAATGGTGATATGATTGGTGTCACTATGAAAGTAAACTAGGGTGCAATAGCTGCAGATCTTGTCCTTAGGGCCCCTTAGTGTTAGGGAGCCAAGACTGTTTTATGGAATGAGCCAGTATGGTGACAACATGGGCTGAGGCTGTGCGTGAGAGTAGCATTTAAAATTTGGTCTGGCAAATTCTTTGTGTATGATTGAGCTTGAATTATGTGTGGCCCTTGAAGTATGTGAATATGTAGGAGTCAGTATTTATGTAGTACCTACTGAGTTCAAAGACACTACTAAGTTTTGAAGGGGTGAAGGGTCTAAACTCTAAAGTATGATGCCTGCCTTTATTCTAATTAGCTGATAAATTTTCTTAAGGTGCTGTGGATCATGCTGGCCTTCTGTGCCCCTGAGCTACATCCCCAGCCCTGATAACTGCTTTTAGGGAGCTGCCAGTCAATGTAGGAGGAAAAGAAATACATTTGCACGCAGAGTAGTGTGTGTATGGGCACTGATTGCATAGTCAGACAGATTTAGGTTCAATATTTGGATCTGCTTTTGTTTTTTAAAAATTTTTACAGTGCATGTTGTGTGTGTGTGTGCATATGCAACAGCATGCATGCTGCAGTCAGAGGACAACTTTCAGGAGTTGGTTCTTTCCTTCCACCTTACGAATCCTGAGGATCAGACTTAGGTCTTCAGGCTTGGTAGCAGATGCCTTTACCCTTTGAGCCATCTCACCATTTCCTGGATCTGTTTTTTTAAAATTCATTATTATTATTATTATTATTATTATTATTACTGGTGTGTGTGTGTGTGTGTGTGTGTGTGAGAGAGAGAGAGAGAGAGAGAGAGAGAGAGAGAGAGAGAGAGAGAGAGGAAGAAGAAGAAGAAGAAGAAGAAGAAGAAGAAGAAGAAGAAGAAGAAGAAGTCGTCAGAGGGCAACATTATTATGTTAGTTCTCTCATATCAGTACCTGGGTTCAGGGGCTAGAACTCACATTGTCAGGCTTTGTGGCAGGTGTCTTTACTGGTTGAAACATTTTTGTTGGCCCTCTGAATCTTTTGTTTCCCTCCCCCCCTCCCTCCCTCCCTCCCTCCTTCCTTCCTTCCTTCCTTCCTTCCTTCCTTATCTTTCCCACTTATACAACTTAGGTCATGCTATTCCACAGGAGAGTGTATTAGAAATGAAGATCTCACACCTCACTCTGTAGACTGTAGGTATGGGACTTTAATAAGTTCCAGGGAGATGCTGATGTAAGCTAAAGTCTGAGTTCACTGCCCTGTGGTGGTATTGAGAATTTAGTGTGATAGTATATACACTTTGGAAGTGATAAATTCAATAAGTGGCAGCTATAGTTAAATATAAACGGTGCATTTTAAGGTAAAGGTGAGTGGAGAGCAGGGTGAAAACTAGCCTGGCTAGCCTCCCCTTTTGTGTTTGGCTGAATCAGAAGTTCTTTCCCGTATTGTTTGGGTAACAGTGCCTCTTCCCTAGTCCTCTGAGTCCTCAAGGCTCTGACCTGTCTGCCAGTCCCAGCCTGGTTGCTCAAGGATAATGAGTTATAAGCCAGTTCCCCAAGCAGTGGCCCAGGCAGTGTATGGTGTTGACAGTGGGAGTTTTCAAACACAGACCTGATCACCACCACCACATCCTGTTCACAATGTTCTTTTCCCCAGTGTGGGTATTAGTGTGTGCTTCACAGTAAGGGACTGTTAGGACTCAAGAATCAGGTGCTAGCGAAGAGGAGAATGCTGGACTGCCATCTCCAGCATCAGTCTTTCTAGACTGGCTCTCTAACTAGTCCTGCAGGCACTTGGTTGTCTGGAGGAAGGTGAGCCTCTCCGCCATGATTTAAAGGGATATGGGCATCTCTAGGCCAAGTGATTTCTTAGTACTAGAGGATGCCTGAATGAGGTGATAAATCCTGCTGAGTTTAGACATGTGATGGCAAGGGAAGATTTGGCTTAAGCTTCTAGAATGAGCTCATTGGGAAGATTAGCGCAGTGCCTAGGAGCAGTACTTTTGTCATATTTTCTGGCTGTATAAAGCCTTTATCAAAACTCTAAACAGTAAGCAAATATTGAATGCTTGCTGTGCCCAGGGCAGCATTCCAGAGTTGTATCAGTTCTGTAGAAGGTAGACTAGGAGGCCTCACAAAACATTCTCACCTGCACAAAAAGAATCCAGGTCTGGGCCTGGTGAGAACTCAGACTATCAGGAAGCTTCCCTAATTTCCCCTATCTGCAGAGCAAGGAAGAAAGACTTGAAAACTGTGTACCCACATATAGCACACAGCTCTAAATGTCTCAGTAGTACATATGTACACTCACCCGGTGAGCCATTTATTTGTGCTTTTCCGTGGCAGGCACTGCATTAGATTCCAGAAGAAAGCTTGATGGGTCATGGACTGAGACCAGCAGATAATAAATAATCCTGGAATAAGTGTCCTGTTGTTCAGCGATCATAGGGAGAAAAAGGTGATTTGAACAGGAGTGGCAGCTACCCAGCAAATGTACCAGCCATGTTCCCAAGGCCTCCTAGCCAGAAGGAATGACATGCGCAAAAATGTGGAGTGGTGAAATGCAAGATGAGTCTCAGGAATACTGACCGGTGTGACGTCACTGTTTGGTACAAGTTTCCCTTCCAGGTTCAAGGAGAGGAAGTAAAGGTGTGTGTGTTTGGAGGTGGATAGAATGAGATTCTTGTATATTTGTTCCCCAGTATATATTTTGTTGTGTTTACTGCTCACTTTATTCAGTGGCTCTGTGCTCTTCAAAGAACTACTAAACAGCTACAAGTATGTACTTGCTCCTTTACTGTGCCCTAGCTCTGTGCTAAAGCACAGAAGGGTGTCTCAAGTGTCATAAGAGGCAAGAAGTCAAGCAGAAGCAGGTGTGTGTGTGTGTGTTGCACGTGTTATCAGTGTTAGAGAAGAGTGCACAGGGCAGCTAAGATGTTTGACTAGAGCAGAAGAGAAAGGGAAGAAATGGTTCATGGAGACCCTTGAGCTCCAAGCCGAGAGATTAGTCAGATGCTCCTGAGTCCCTCCCTTGATGCAGATACCACTTTGATCCTTCCTACTTCAGATGACTTTGCCTGCTGGGAAGTCTGGGTTTTTTACAGGCAATGCAGATTTTCAGGGGGTGGTTTGTGAATGG